CCATGAGTTACTTGTCGCTAATTGTGGAATATCAGTTTCGAATACTTTTTGACTGATTCACATGCTAGACACAACGCGAGTTATCGACGATGTATAATACTAGCACGATGCATAAATACTGCACTTTATGTGCAATCCATAAATTCCAGGTTGTGATTATGGAACAGTGTTACGCATAGAACAGAATTTTCTGCGAAAGTATACGAATATGCTCTCCAATTGCATTTATTACAGGGAAAAATTTCATTTACGAATTCTTTTTTAGAATTTTTCGATGTCCATATTAAAGTTCTTTAATTTTAATTTTTAAGATTAATTTAAAATTTTTTATTTTGTTAATTCTAGAACCATTTAATTTAGACTCTTTAATTTAAGATTTTTTTATTTTCTTTTCCGAATTTAATATTTCTTTCTTTTTAACGTTTTAGGATTTTTAATTGTTCGCAAAGATTCTTCGATTAAGAATGTTTTATTTTTTTTTTATTCTTCACTCGATTGTTCTTGATGACAGATTGAACTTGTAAAATCTAATTGTGTAATACTATAGCGACGGAATGTAAGTAATTAAAATTAAAATTTCTTTCTTTCGTTTTCCAAGAATTATTAACTTTGTATCACAACCATTTTTCTATTCTTCATTTTTAAATTCTGATAATTGTTAAAGGAAACAAAAATAATTTGTAAATATTAAAAAGAAAATCATTTCATATCTATAGTTAATAGATGTACTATTATAACAGGTATACATGTAACGTGCTTGCCTAATACATATTATATTTACATCTCGTATGAGTAAGAATTATTTCACATTATTATCTCCTGTTATTGTTGAAGTTCTATTTCAGAAGAGAGATAATTCGTGTTTTGATCAGACTTTTTTTATAGAAAATTGTGGCATTATGTTACACATTTACATGTATAGTTCCATCGTGTACATTAACTAGGACGCAATTATGCCTGACAGATATTATCTTTTACAGATATATTAGAGAAATATGAATGCCAATTTAGATATAAGAAAAGAACTAGTAAACGAATTAAGAAATAGCTGTAAATGAATATGAATTAGTTTTGTTTTGCATTTTGCAGAGCATCAGCTCTGCGTTAAGAACAGAGGATAAAAATTTATTAATTTTTAATTACTAATTTTAATCGTTAATTCGGAGGATTATTAACCGTTAATCACAATATTATCATTTTAAGATTTTTTTCTTTCCATTGGAATGCTGTTTAAAAGGATATCTTCTAGAGAATCACTTTTTATAGAAATAATATTTTTACGAATACTTTTTATTAAAAATAATATCTTCAAAAATATTGTTCTCAAGAATACTTTTCATAAAATTTACACAGTGATATCTGTAGCAAATATAATTTATAACAATAATCTTCATAAAACTAATACTTTCCAGAGAAATACTTGCCATATTTGCCAGAAATTAACGTCAATAATTTTACAAAAAGATACGAATATAAAAATTTCCAATTTATAAAAATAATTCTTTCGATTTCTAACAATTTTCTGCTTATGATTCTAAGCAAAATCAATAATTACAATGTATCCTAGCTGTATCTGCGTGCTTATCTTATAACACAAAATACATAGTTTTTATCTATCACAAAGTCCTTTCGTTATCGGAATTCCCTATCACAACGATTAACATTCTGCGAAACGAAAAATTTCACAAACGAAAGAGCAAACATAGCAATACAGGCGCCAGTAAAAAATTGACTTTGATAGTTTTTATCGCTCGATTACACCATTTATCGTAATTTAGCATAATTTGTCTATGCTCGACAAAATCGTCGTACAATATAATTAAATGCGTCCAATAAATGATTATCCACCGAAACGAAGCAGAAACATCCGATCAAAAGGCTGAGCTTTCATCAGATTCCACGACCTTGGCGAAATTCTCATCGCTCTCATTGACTTACTTATTCCTTATCTCGTTGTAATTAAATTAATAGCTACGTCGCTGAAAGCTTTTTATCTTTTTTATAAATATTTCCACAATCGTCCAATCAATGTTAAGCTCAATAATTAAATTTAAAGTAAAATGGAAATTGCACAGCATTTGCGCAGATTGACTTCGATGCAATTAAAAAGTTGTCAAAAAGATGTAGCTGATTCTTAAACATTGTTTTCAGTATTACAATACGACATTTTGGAATTCACTGAAACGATCATAGAAGCCATCGAAAGAATTTTGAATCTCGAAATTTGAAATTGAAATTCTGCCAAAGTACACTTTTAAAATTTTTAAGAATATTTCCCCAAAGTTTTCACAATCCGTCGATGTCAACTTTAATTTATTTTTTAAATTCTTCTCTCATGGTACGTCATAATTGTCAAATTCTTGTGTTAAATTAGCGATTCTCATTTTCTGTCTGGCTGTTGAAAAAGGAAAAGGAAAATAAAAAAAAAATTGAATATTAATATTAAAAACCCAACGGTAGAATTTCCCCTTGCCTTCTGAAATCGTTTCCCATTCTCGTGATTCTCTGCTGCGTGAAGTGTCTAAAGTTTATCGGGATTTATCATGGCCAGCGTTAATTGCAGTCGAACGCGTGATAATGCGACCAAGTACGTAGTAATAACATTTCGTATTCCTTTGCGTAAAATCAAAGACCAAATATATTTATTATTCCTTGATCGAGCGTAGTCGGTCATTTTCTTATTTTGTTTGTTCGCAGGCCGAGAAAAAAGGAGCATCGCCTTCGGAATACGGATTGGTCTTTGGGATTTTCGAGTTCATCGTCTTCATTGTCAGCCCCCTCTACGGACAATATGTAGGTGAAATAATTATCGAAACATATAACAATTATGAAATATATACTTTAATTTCTCGCTAACTCTTAGTTTTTAATATTTCAAAATTTAAATGTCTTGCCTAGCTTTCCATTTTATTCCTGTCATAGAATAAAATAGCGAAAGATTTTGAAATTGATTCTTAAAGAATTTTTATGTGGCAAAAAAAAAGAAAAAAGAAAAATGATGTGTACTTGAACTTAAGTTTAAAATTTAATTAAAATTGTCTTTACAATTGCAAAATTTGAAACATATTATATAGAAAAGATAGGTCTTTAAAAAGTTGAAGATGGTTGAGAAATTAATGTAAATGTTCGAAGGAATAGTTTATAATTACTGATCTATCGTCTTTAATA